ACTGACAGAGTCCTTACTTCAGCTCAAACAGCTCCTCTAGTTCCAAATGTACTTTTATCCATCCTTGCCAACTTGGTTAATTTAGTAGGACATGCCACAATTTGTCCCAGACTGGTTTTTGATTTGAAAGCATCGGGTTTTATATGTTTCAGAAAACACCACATTCAGTGGTATATTCCCCACTGAACCTGAAGGTAATTTTATTCCAATTTATATTAAAAAAAAAAACAACCCTTCCCCCAGTTCCAGGACTTGAAAGAAAACAAAACCAAACCTTCCACTGGAATTTAAATCCTAGCTTTATTTATTATTTACTAATCTATGGATGCACCTCTCCTTTCTTTAAATCAACAGCTTTATTTTTTAGTTTCTCCTTTCCCAAACCATTAGTGTGACTGCTCTTCTGGAAGATGTYTGTGACCCATTTAGATTTAGAGTTTCAGTGTTATTTCATTATTTAAACCAAAAAAAAACCCCAGCCAACAGGACCTCATTGTTCTGAGGCCATAAATATTCCAGGTTGTCTCCTTCTATATTTATAAAGTGACATCACAATTTGTAGCGCCACAATTTCGCCTTAACTACGACGTTGTAAAGCCCCTATTCGAGCACGTGAGACACTTGTTTATTGACATGATAAATTCAAACCACATGCACCCAGAAAAAAACACAACACTTGCTTATTTGCAAAGCCTGCTGAGAGCTAGCACACCACCTTGGCTTGTGGGCTCATTAGATCTCAATCTAAACAAGGTCAGGCCAGGTCAGCACACTTGAATGAATGACATTCAGAGGAGAGCCAGCGTTTTCTCGTGATTAAGGAGGTGGGAGTCTTCCATTTGGAAACTTTCCAGAAGGCCTGAAAAGGTGCTAAAAGGGATATTGCCACTGGATGCCATTTTCTGAGGAAAAGGCAGCCCCCCAAATCTTTCACACTTATGCTCATAAAAGCCTGGAGATGTGAGCTCAGGCAAATTCCCAGCAAATTCCCTGAGTTTCTATCATACCCTGTCCATCTGCAGGCAGAGTGCTGCGAGTGCCAATTCAGARCCTTTCATCAATGCCAGTCTCCAACTTTCTGAACTGCGTGTAAATATAGCAATRTGCTCTAAATAGTCCAAGACATCTCACTCAAAATAGCTGCAGGCTTCAGCTGTGGCAGTTTTAGATACCAGTTAAGGTTTTCCATCGTTCTTTGTAATCTGGAAATATTGCACGAATTTCAAACATTTTATAAGTGATCTTTTGAAACTAGCTTCCAGTTCATAAATGGGGAGCCTGTCAAACAGAAGGGAAGCATTTCATTCTGCAAAGCAGCCCTGCTAAGCCATTCAGAACAGAGGGAAATAACTAGAATTGCAACAAAAACCAGTAAAAAGACGTGTAGTTTCTCTTGAAGGTATCTGACCCTTTTTCAAGCTGCAACAGGAGCAGCAGAACCAAACAGGTGTCGTTTTTGAGGGTAGTTTTTATATTTGGATAAAAGCTTGTACCGCCAGGGGATTGTGAACTCTAATAGCTGAGCAAGCAGCACCAAGACGGGAGTAACAGCACTAATAGCAGCACGCTAATTGTGTTGTGTTTCCACACAGCACTAAGTGCTTTTTAAAATTTCTTTCCAGTCCTTGACTGCCTCACACTTAAGWAGAACTGAAGACATCCCCTAAAGACTTCTGTTCCTCCTCCTKGCTCGTTTCTGCTTCAGAATTCCCACATTTGCATCCCTGGTTGCGCATTGCMAGCACAGAGTGATGTTGATGGAGTCAGAAACTCTGAGGAATTGCCACAATGACCCGAATACTCGTCTATGAAATTCTGTCTTTGGGATTCRTCTCTGTAGGTCTGAACTTCCTGCCTGATCAGGGGTTTGGCTTTTCTGCCAAACCTATAGAAGGAACCACAGACCAAGCCACAAGACCAAATTGACTATTTATTAGAACCAGTGAATCCAGCTCCTCCAAAACCAATAGACTTTTATCCTTTCCTCCCAGCACTGCAGCACAAGTCTGTACAACAGCAAGGCAAGCAACAGCAGAAATTCAAAGGAATAAATAACAGCGACAAACATATAAAAAGGGCGTCAAACTTTTGAACTCCAGAGAGTTCCAAATGGAGGGGAAATGGATTATATGGCTTATTTCATAGTAGGAGCATTGTACCGCCGTGTTTGTTCATGAAGCTCATGTTATTTCATAACTTTTAACGTGGAGAAATGTCAAAAGGGGCTTTGTTCACTGACCAGGAGCTACTGAGACATCACGGAATGGGTCCTGCTTGGGAGTAGCCTTCTGCCCCCCAAATGCCCCGTGAACGATGTCAGCATGCAAAACGTCCTGTTTCTGCCTCACACAATGCATATGAACCCRGATAAATAACTGGCCATCTGCCAGCCTAAAAACAAAAAGCAGAATCTATAAACACAGTTCAAAACCCACAGAGAAGAAAGGCTGGCAGACCCTTAGACACAAGGTTCATAAAAGAAAGATTGACAAATGATTTACTGTCCAAGGCCGGCTGAAGAGCTGTGCTACAACTACAGCTAGAGAATTTRCATAAAGCAGTTCACGGCCATACTGAATTTAAATAATTATTTTCCATCATTTAGTACTCTTTGAAAAGAAGAAGCATAACCAGAGAGAGCATATGAAATTTCATTATCACACAGAAAGCAAATTTTAAATGAAAAGCAACATGTAGAAGTATTTCTCCTTACCTGATGTCTGCAGCACTTACAGAGAAAGATCTTTTAGAAGTTATGTACTGCTCAAAGAAAAATAACATTGTTTTCATAAAAGCTAGGTGTTTTTAGAATCTCAACGCCTCACAAGAAAAACACTGGCAATAATTTATATTAAGTTGATTTGGAAAGCTTTCTGTAGATTCAACCCAGGCAGAGAAGCCTCAAATAAGTTCTGCAGGAAACCAGATTTAAATAAGAACAGCTTTTTTATCTTTCTGCTCCAGGAAAGGATTCTTTTTGTGGTCATGTACATGTTGTTGGGATTTTTTTTTTTTWAAGCCTCTTTGTGTGTACAGCTATACTATCTCAGGAACACAGTCATCAAGTAGCGCCCTAAACTTGCAGCTGTAATTTAGGATAGATGAACCTCGATTAGCTTGAAACCTGGTTTAATTTACAACTGTGTGATCGTTGCATGTCTCAGATTTACAGCCAATTGTGAATAGTACATAAAGTGTTATCATTAGCAACTGCTGAATGAGGAGAAATTGAACAATTTTCTAAATTACATGAAAGCATTTACAGGCACACAGAATACACAACTTAAAGAATGCAGCTTGTTGAAYTCCACTTTATAGACTGTTTGCTGCTATAAAGTACCTGTACTGTGGCAGATTGTGTTCTAAGGCATAAATTAGGATCGTATTGTATTTCTCATTTTTCTCCACCAGTATCACAGCCCTGAGCACAACAGAAATACAGAGACACCACCACAACTGCAGGCTCGGGGAATGCAGTTTTGCTTCATTTGCAACTACACACTGTGGCCAGGAATGTTCACATATTTGTTGAATGATTTTGCTTACTCCCCTACTCTTAATTAAACCGTGTTAGCCAATCAGGAGAACAT